ACGAGGCACCAAGTGTACCAAGGGATATGTAGCGGTGTTCGTGTGCATGGCAACCAAGGCCGTGCACTTAGAACTAGTATCGGACCTAACGACGTCATAATTTTTAGCGGCTTTGAAGAAGATGGCTGCCAGACGGGGAACGCCAAGTCACACTTATAGTGACAATGGCACCAACTTCGTCGGAGCAAGCAGAGTCCTAGCACAAGAATACCAAGAAATTATATCGACCATCAACCAAGATAATCCAGAGTTAATGCAAGAGATCACAGAAATGCACATACAGTGGCATTTTAACGCTCCTTCCTGGCCCTCAGCAGGCGGGTTATGTGAAGCGGCCATTAAAAGTCTAAAATATCACCTGAAACGCGTCATTGGTGAACAGAGACTGACTTACGAAGAGTTAACCACCATACTGTACCAACTAGAAGGCTGCTTAAATACAAGACCATGGTGCGCCATGAATGAAGACCCAGACAACCTGGACTATTTGACGCCAGCACACTTCCTAGCAAGTGGACCTGTGTTGACGATATTTGATACAGAGCAAGATCTACGAACAAGATGGTTGGTACCTTTGTCAAAAAATGTATAAGGACATATGGAAACGATGGCGTTCAGAGTACTTGACCCAACTAAATGTACGCAGTAAGTTGCAAAGGGAACAAAAAAATATCAAGATCAACAACGTCGTGCTCGTCCACGAAGACAACTTAACTCCAGGACGTTGGGCTATGGGGCGCGTCGTCGAACTTCATCCCGGTTCTGATGAGCAAGTGAGAGTGGTCACACTGAAAACCAAGAATGGCTACCTCAAAAGGCGGTCGTGAAATTATCGCTACTACCTGTAAATCAAGAGTCAGATGGCAGCGATAATAACACAAACAAACCATCATCAATCAAGAACGATCAACAAACAAGAGCGCCTCAATCTGTTAAGAAACCTCAAGTTCATTTCTCGTGGCTTGCGTTGGATATGCTATTTTTCATGAGCATACTTACCACATCATCATGTCCTTTTCTTAACACACCTCTGAAGTCGAACCAAGGAAAATATTTTGACAAAGTCTCTGACATGCAAGTAATTAGAGACGAATGGACCATGGTCGTCTATTATGACGTGAGCCCCTACTGGCAAGGGATGAAGACCTTTGAACAATATTCAAATTACTTGCAATAAACATGCGATAAATTACAAGAAGCCCAATGTAACATTATACTGTGGCAACTACGTCATAGTTACTCCGAGTTCCAGCATTATAATACTATTTTGATGACACAACATTCCCGCACGCGCTCGCGCCGCCGCCGAGGACTGATCAACGGAGTCGGCAGTATCGCGAACTCATTATTTGGAATTTTAGACGAGAATTTTTGCTCAAAAATACCAAAAAAAGACACCAAACGTTCATCCGTGATAATCAGCAGCATCTGGCAAACTTGTGGCGAAATCAAACCTCTATAGTCGAGGCGGAGTGTAACTTACTTAAAAGGAGTGAAGAAGCTATGAACAGGCAGCATAAGTTAATAAACAAACAGATGCTAAATAAAGAAAGGGCCGTGAACATATTAAACTCAGAGGTTGTCAACATGTCTCAAGTGAATCAATTAACTTTGGCAGCCGTAGCTGCAAGAAATATGATACAGGAACTACGAAGCGTGCAAGAATCATTGCTAGACACGATCACAGATATTTATCACGGGAGATTTAATTTCCATCTATTATCTCCAGAACAGCTTTAAAATGAACTCGGTGTCATAGCAAGCCAAATATCGAAGGAGCTGGCCTTACCAATCGAAAACATACAAGCAAACCTTCAAAGTATTTATCAACTTTTAACAATAAAGGCCAGAATATGTGAAGATTACCTGCTGTTCGAGATAAAGGTGCCGCTCATCAGTAGAGATTCCTTCGAAATATTTCATCTTATTCCAGTACCGACCAAGATTAATAACAGCAAGATGGTTACCACGATACCAATATCGGAATACGTGGCCATTAACCTAGCAAAGGATGCGTACATGGATACATGGATGGATATAGATGAAATTTCATCATGCAGTCAGCAATCTAACTCGTATTTATGTCACTTAAACAAACCAGTTTACCATCTCTCACAAGACGACAAATTCTGTGACTTCGATAATATTAAACAGCAGTGTAAAACCGTTGTGGACTCCTGCAATTTCAAATGGACTGAATTAAACAATATAAACAAGTACTTATACTTTTGTTGTGAGAGGTGTCAGTTACGAGTGATGTGCGCGGATCAGGTGACCGCGCCACAGCTGGAGCGCGCCGGCATCGTCAGCATTTCACACGGGTGCATTGTCAAGTCCAACCTATTTACGGTGCACGCTCGTAACCTTGACCGCAGCGTTATCAAGACGAGCCCAGACATCAAGGTTGAAGACTTCAATAAACAATATCATCAACGCATCGATCCCGATGTCGTCTATAGTAGATGAAACCATAAATGACCGCCAAAAACAATTTTCGGATTTAGAAAAACAGCTAAAAGATTTGAAAAAGCAGGCGGTGTTGACAAGTGATGTATCATACCATGATATGCATCATTATGCTCTCATCTACATTATGATCGGAGCAGCAATTATCGTGGGTGCTGGTCTGGCGTGGCAGCAAATGCGACAAACACGGTTAGCAGGAGCCAACTCTCCGGCAGTGCCCCCGGCGGAGGACCGCAACGCGGTTCGCCTCCCCTCCATCCGAAACAGCATTTGTGAAGAAGAAACGACCAATCGTAGTGATCCTGTTACCAATAAACTAGACAGTGTTCGAATTGTAAACAGGTCTACGTCGCCCGTAGCAACTCATACATCTTTTCTCAAGCAATCATGATCAGCATCCCGCCCTCATCTGGCGGCCCGGAGCATGTACGGTGCAACACCGTGCATTCTCCCGCGTCAGCATTTTAGTAATTTGACACTTATGCGCGACTGACCTCATTCATTAATATTTTATTTTGTAGTGTGTTTGTGTTTGCCTACCAATACGGTCGCGTGACTCAATCTTATATTTTTACCAAGTTTCGTGTATTGTGAAATCGCAATAAATCATCGTTTTTCTCAAGGTCGTGTTTAAATCATTCATCATCAGATCAAGTAAAAGGTGTGTGGTATACCAAGACCAAACATTTGGATTATGTAATGAATAAAGAGGGAATCCACCCCGATCCTGACAAGATAGAATCGATTCTGTTGATGTCAACACCCAAAGATATTTCGGAACTTCGGTTATTTTTAGGAATGGTCAATTTTTATAGCCGTTTCATGACCAATTTGAGTACCATTTTACAGCCACTTTACGTACTACTAAAAACAAACTCGACATGGAAATGGGGTAGATTAGAACAGCAAGCTTTCACTGTAGTTAAGACACGTTTGAGTGACGCGGTCGCGCTGAGCCACTACGAGCCGGGCGCGCCGCTAGTGGTGACGTGTGATGGCAGCGCGCGCGGGCTCGGCGCCGTGCTGGCGCAGCGCGACGCGGCCGGCGCGAGCGACCCGTCATGTGCATGTCGCGCGCGTTCACCGCCGCGGAATGCAACTACAGTCAGATACAAAAAGAGGCGTTAGCTATTGTATTTGCTGTGAAAAAGTTTCACCAGTATATTTACGGGCGACGGTTTACATTGCGGACGGATCATAAACCGTTAGTCACAATATTCGGTCCACACCAAGGTATTCCTAGCATGACGGCCAGTAGATTACAGAGATGGGCTTTAATATTAACAGCTTACGGTTTCGATATCCAATACGTCTCAACTAATGATAATGTGGCGGATGCATTGTCGCGAATGATTTTTACCCATAAAGAGAGTAGGTCGGAGGAAAATCGAGAATTTCCGGAACAAACTTATTTAAATTTCGCGTCAGAGGCCTTATTAATAGTGTAGTGTGTGCTTATATATATATATATATATATATATATATATATATATTTTTGTAGGATATAATAAGAGAGGATTAGTACGTTTTATTTATTCCCCGAACCACCCAACACTACATGGCGACCCTGCCAGTTCATCGGCGGTCTGCCTGGGTTCGGTTGCGGGCCGCGTTCAAAAATATGTGGAATTCAAATTAAGTACAAAAATGAATAATAAATAATATTGAACTTATATTAAAAAAAATGTGTCGTTCTGAACTCAAGAAAGACCAAGTGTTCATTACGCAAGACACTTCAGGAGGCTCAAATTCTGCACATGTAGAAGAAATTAAAAGCCACTTATCTGGGATATCCGTCGTGCTGATTATAATATGCACAGTTTTGGGCTTGGCTCTTCTCTACGGTGTATACAAAATATACAAAAGTTGCCATACAAGCTGGATGCGGAATGAGATGGTAATGCACAATTTGCGTCGTTCTTTTGTGCGGTCACCGGACCCAGGACCTCGTGTACCCCGTGTATGCTGTGAATGCTGCCACGAGGACCGCCGTGAGACAACGAATGCGTCAAGTTGAAAATATGAGGTTTAAATTGAAAAATATGTTATAGTTTAAGTTTAAAAAAATAATAAAAATAGCCTTATATGTATACACCTTAAAATATTTTGATAACGATTTTTTTAACTGTTTTTGTTTTCATGTCTAGTGAAATAATAATAATATATGAAAAATTTAAAAATATTAAAAATAATTTAGTTATATTAAGTTATGATAAGCGAACTAAAAGCATTTGGTACCACCGGTGGTGGTGGGCTCGATTCGGTCTGCCAAGACCGTTTCGTTCGTTTCGTTTGGTTGTCACCCTATAGTTTAGTGTTAAATAATATATCTTTAAGTAAATAAAGTAAAATAAATATCAAACAGGGATTGATTTTATATCTATATCGACTTATGTGCAATGAAGGTGGAGGAGGAGTCGTAACATTAGCTTCAGAATGGAATTGACAGTGTGTTGCATTTGACCATCTCCATCCTTACTTGTATGCGGAAAACAAATAAGTTAGTAAAGTTTTTAATGGACAAGTTTCAGAAAATGGACGAAAATCTCAATCGACGTAAACTCATGACGCCTTCTCGGAGCCGCACGGTCCACCAAGAGCGGGTGGAACTAAGCGGCCGTAGTAAAAGGAGCTCCAAGAGGAGCCACGGTTTAGATCGAATTCAGGAATTAGAGCACGAACTACAGGAAGAACGTGATCAGTTGCGGTATCACGACCGCAGTGACCGACGGACATCCAGATGTCAGTCTGGCTCACCGTTAGTTCATAATGGTCATAGCAGGGATCGACGAAGTAGAAGCCTACAACGAGAGAGCCGACCTCGCCAAGCCGGCAATGACATCAAACGGGACACCACTAAACGTCCGACGAACAGGTCACGTAGTCCTTCTTTTTCTACCCAAGATGTTGTTAAGATAATTCAATCTTTTTAGCATGGTTTTGAATCGCAACCACATACTCAGAGACTCAATTAATAAATAAAAACATGGTCAGTAAAAATATACTACCAGACTTTGATCCCTCAAATAAAAATCAACGTATAGACATATGGTTAAAAAAGGTGAACGAGTGTGCTTCAGTATATGGTTGGGATGATAAAACCACAACACATTTTGCAATGCAAAAACTACAAGGGTTGGCTAAAGTTTGGTTAGAACGTTTAAACTCTATCCTAGATACTTGGCAAGAACGGCAAAATCAATTGTTAAATGCATTTCCCTACGAACAAAACTACGGCCAATGCTTGGAGGAAATGCTCAAACGCAAAACTAGGTAACGAGTCTATAGAGACCTATTATTATCAAAAGTTAGCGTTGATAAATCAGTGCGATATTACTGGAAAACGTGGTGTCGACTGTATTATTCACGGTATTACTGATAAGACTATGAAATCTAGTGCTCTGACGCTACAGTGTTCCGAACCAAATCAGTTGCTAAAATTTTTGATTAGCGATAAGGATACCATGAATTATCGTTATCCTGTGCAATTAAAAAACAAACATTTAGAGGGTCCTAGTGCGGAAAATCAACGAAGGACTCCTAGGATTAACTATAGCCAAGGTACCTTTTGTTTCAATTGTAGGGAGAAAGGGCATGGTTTCTTAAGATGTCCAAAAACCTTGATAAAATGTAGAAAGTGCAATAAATTCGGGCATATTACTGAAGACTGCCTAAGTAATTATAATAGTACGGTCGTGTCTAAAAATCCCATTCAAAAGACAATGTGCGTTTCGACTTCAAACTCAAACTCAAAATTTATTAAAGAGGCCATGATAAATGGAGTTCCATTTGAATCGTTCGTTGATTTTGGAAGCCAGGTTACCTTAATCAAGGAATCTGTAGCTTGCAGCCTTGATATTCAATATGATAACTGTCCGTCTACTATGAAGGGTTTTGGTAATAGGACAGTACAGTCCTTGAGGAGTGTTGTAGTCGACCTGATGATAGATGGAGTCGGAGCAAGAGTATTATGCAAGGTTGTAAAGGATCATTTGCTCGACAGTCCCATATTAATTGGCCAGTCGTACACTGAAAAACCGCACGTAATGGTTTTCAAGGACTCGTCGAAATTACAGTTTATTGACGTATGTAACGAATTACCTCACCCAGACTTAGCTGCTAAAGATCAACAACCAGTAACAATAAGTTTTTTCCGGTCGAAGTCACCTTTTTGGAGTCGCTGCTGTACGTGCTAAGACTAGGTTCCCATTCAGTGGTAGTGTACTGCTTCCTACCAAGGTGATTGGAAAACCAAACGAACAATATTCTTGATATGCGGCGGCATTCATCAAATAGAATATGGCTTAGTTCATGTTACTATAGTACCTTGTTTCTATACATGTCTCCTGCAGGAAAATCTGTCGAGCCGAGAAGGTCAAAGTTGTTAACAGAGTGACACAGATTCCGCCGAGGATATTAAGTACGGGAGTGACTAGAAGGGAAGACATTGATGAAAGTCAATTAAATTTAGGGAATTCGGTAACTGACGAAAACAGACGTCGACTCGTTGACTTACTAAATCGTTATCAACATTGCTTCGCAACCTCTCTGAAAACTTTAGGTTGTACAAATGTCACGGAAACGTGTATCGAATTGACGAGTCCTCGACCGAAAGAGGCCAGGTGCGAGAAATGATAGGAGAAATGCTGGATGCCGGTATTATAAAAGATTCAGTGTCGCAGTATGCTGGTCCTATTATTCTAGTACGAAAAAGGATGGTAAGACTAGAATGTGTGTTGATTACAGAATGTAGAATTCCATCACAATTAAAGAAAGATATCCTCTACCGGTGATCGAAGGTGAAATCAGATATCCGTCCGGGTGAGAGGTCAGCAGAAGGTTCAACAGGGAAGGTGCATGATCCTCTACATCTGGAATCCGCGTAAGCGAAGTAACCAGTTGTGTCAAACCATAAGCCAAGGCAAAATCATGAACAGATTTCCCCGCATGATCGGTTAAACGTGAACCAAGCCATTCGGCGTGATGGGCGTTAAAGTCGCCGAGGATCACGATCTCTGCGGAGGGGATCTGCTGTAGCAACGAATCTGTAGCCATTTGGACGTGTTCGAAAAGTCGGTCTGTTTCCCCGTAAACGCGCGAATGGTCGTCGCTGCCTATGCGTAGCCAAAGGATGGACAGGTCCGAACCTTCAAGTCTGCCGAGGTGTCGAGAACAGATGTCTCTGACGTAAACGCAAACTCCAGCCCGAGGCACAAAGGAGTGTTTCAGTTTGTACCCCGAGTAGGAGAGATACGAGACATCAGCCGGAGAGGACACCTGCGTCTCGGTCAGGAAGAGCAGAGCCGGCCTCGCCGTCTCGAGATGGTAGTGGACGGCGTTTAGGTTAGAGTGAAGTCCCCTGATATTGCAGAAATTCACGGACAGCGTGGCACCTTGGTCACCTTGGTCTTGTTGCTCCGTTTGGAAAGGTTTTTGAAAGGACAAGAAGTGTGGTGGAGCCACGTGTTTAAGGCTGCCGAAAATCTAGTTCCCCGGTCAAACCTCAAACCTATTACGCGAGATATTAACTAAAGTGGACTGTATTTGCGATTGCTTCTACGCTTACGTAAAAGCGACTACTATAGCATGCGGTACAATGCACTCGCTCTTCCCTAAACTAAACTATTACTTGCCAAATCGATGAAAGGAATCCTGCCTGATGAGGAGAACACAGAATTGGAGCGGTTAAAACAATTATTAAATATTAATCAGGCAGTAAATTAAGGAATATTGACTCACCGGGGTTCTTCTATCCTTTAGAGCACTATAGCGGCGATTTTCGGAACCTCCTCTGGACAGACACTCTGGGGCCCCAGGGGTGCGTCAGGAGAGAAGCGTTGTAGTTCAACGACGGCTGCGGCGGGAAGAAGAGAGCGCGCGTCGGTCGCGCGTGTCTTATATATCCTCGGCTCCGGTGATTGCGCGATGTTCTAGAATCGTCTTCTTTCCCCTCCCACCCCATCACCCCGATGTGTCGATAGGAGGGTACGAATGATATCGTTTAGGAAGGGAATAATGATTCAGCAAGTTCCTACCGTCAAAAATAAAAACGCGAATGGTTTTCCGCGCAACCATCTCCCCCCGCCCTTGAAGGATTTCCTTCAAAAAAATAACTAAACAACTAGAGCTAAGATCAACTAACAAATAACTAACTAACGCTAAGATTACCTAAATTCAACTACAATTTTAATCTAGAAATCTTATTTAAATTATGGAAGAGGCAAGGGGCACAAACGGACAACAGGACGTAGGTAAGACCCAACCGTGGTCTTAACGCGAGCTATCCTAATTACTCCGTCGGAACCGGGAAAGACCTCCTCGACGATTCCTAACGGCCAGTGGAGAGGCGGCGTATTCTCCTTAGTGAGCACAACTACAGTTCCTACAGCTAAAGGTTCTGTCGCTGTGTTCCATTTTTGCCGAGACTGCAAAGTATGCAAGTATTCCATCCTCCATCGTTTCCAAAACGATTGCACTAACCGATCTAATAATTTGTGGCGTGCGGAAATGCTAAGTCTGTTCTCATCCATATCCGCGGCGGGCAGATACCTTAGAGGCGTTAAATTCAAAAAATGTGCTGGAGTTAGAGCCAGCGGTTCCGAGGGGTCACTAGATAACGTCCGACAAAGTGGGCGGCTACTCATTACGCATTCAATTTGAGCGAGCACCGTGCTTAGCTCTTCGAAGGACAAAATTTGATCTCCTATTACTCGGTATAAGTGGCTCTTTAGACTTTTAATATTAGTCTCCCAATTGCCCCCAAAATGACTCGCGGCTGGGACGTTCAGAGACCACTCAATGCGGTTCTCGGCTAGAATGTGAGCGAACTCCGAATTATAATACTTGCTAGCTAAGAGCTCATGTAGTTCCGATAGAATACGTTTTGCACCGACGTAGTTCGTACCGTTATCCGAATATAATTTACTTACAGGGCCTCTGCGGGATAGAAATCTTTTAAATGCACCCATAAAGCCTGCTGTGCTTAGATCACCCACGAGTTCTATATGCACTGCTCGAGTAGTTAGACATACGAAAATGCAGACGTAAGCCTTTGTGGATCTTATACCACGCCCGCGAGTGAGCGTGACCTTAAACGGACCAGCAAAATCAGACCCGGTGTGCGTGAAGGGCTTTACTGATTGTATCACTCTGCAAGATCTAAGTTCCGCCATTTCCGGAAATGACGGCTTGGGGCGTGCCCGAAAGCAAGCTATACATCTGTGCACCCGATTGCGTATTAAACTACGTGCAGAAAGAATCCAATAATTCTGACGCAAGATCGACATCAATAAATCGGGGCCAGCGTGCGAGTTCAATTTATGATGATAATCGACTAATAGTTCATGATATGGTCTTTACGCGGTAAAACTATAGGGTGACGTTGGTCGAAACTCAATTGCGAGTTGGACAAGCGTCCACCTACCCTTACAATCCCATCCTGTAAAAATGGCTTAAGGCGTTGAAAGGCGCGACTACAAGCTCTATTCGATTGTAATCTTGTAATTTCTTCGGAGAAGTGCGCACGTTGAAGTTCACGTAATACTAGCGCCTCGGCATAGTTGTAATCGGATGCTAAGATATACGAACGTCGCGGTAAAAGCTTCGCGAATCGACAAACGTAAATTACGCTACGCAATAATTTCGACCAAGAGGACAAGCGGTTCGCCAGAGCAATGATTGGAGAAACCTCGCTCGAAACGTTCGCCACTAGAGCGTGTCTCTTCTCTTCCGGCGGTTGTGACACTGACGAAGGTTCGAAATCGGTTATTGGCCATTGTGAGGGATCCAAGTGAACCCAAGAAGGTCCATGGAACCAAAGCGGGTGGTCCATTATTTGCATCGGGGTGAGTCCCCGGGATAGACAATCGGCAGGGTTTTCCTTACCGGACGCGTGATAAAAGTTCCGCGTTTCTAACTCGTCTTGGATCTTGGC